ACATCTTAAGCTGAATTGGATAGTTTTTAATTCAATTATTAAAATAAAGCACCAATTTATGGATAATGTATTATTATATATAACATAAAATAGATCAATACCAGTAAAGCAGATGAATTATAATAAACATATATATTATATAATTTGATAACTATTAAACTCATTATCTTTATTTGATCTGTATTAATAAATGACTAGACCAAAAATATCTTAAATATTTTTCTTGAACATTTTAAAAATTCTTAATTTTAATTAAAGATAGACATCATTCATTAAACAAAGAAAAAAAGAAAGAAATGATATGATTTCATCAACAAGATCCTCTTTGAATTTTGTAAGCAATAATTACAAACAGAGGAATCTATATCAAATAAGAGAAAAACTTTAAATAGATAATTAAAAAAATCCGATAGTATTGAAATATAGGATAATGATTTTAAGGATTAAATTGAAAGACATATTAAAATATAATACGATTGATATACATATATATTTGTATTTATTGTTTTTTGTATATCATTCTCTTCTACGATAAAATAATACATAAGCTGCACTTGTAATTAATGTTGAATTAACAGATTCCTCTTTAATAGAATTAACTGAACTGTCATCAAAATTATACCATGTATTGTCATAGTAGTTTTTAGCGAAAGCAGTGTAATGTCCACCTCCCAATCCTCCAAAATGATTAGAAATAGCATATAGATCATAATAGATAGGATCATTAATTTCTAATTTAAAATTTAATTAAATTTAATACTTGGATTTTCAGGATTTTCAGTAGTGAATTCAGATGGTAAATGGTGATTTTATACATATTCTCTTATGTCAAAATTTTCAATTGGGAATTCAATCAAAGTTTCAAGTTTGCTTTTGAAAAATTTATTAGAGTTTTTGAATCTCTTTAGATGAAATATCAATATTTTAGGTGTTTTATAGATTTCCATAACTTTAAAAGCACGACTAATAGATTAAAATGGATAATATACACATGATCTTTGCATTAATTACAATACCACGTATTTTCTTCATCTAATTATTCAGGTTGTTCAGAAAATTTTAAACATTCACCTAATTTCATTGATTTTTCTGTTGTAGCTTGAACATTAGTAGATTAGAATGTTGGCACAGAAGGTCCTAAAGGTACAAGACATGTAGAGAAAGTTTATTTTTAAGCTAATTATTCATCAGATAAATTTTCTTATTATTTTGCATCATCTATATTTTCTTATAATTATTCTTGATCATTTTATTATTTTGGTAATTCTTCAATATTAGTTTATTTTCTTTGATGATGTTTCAACCAATCATTGTATAACTCATCAACAGAGCTTGCTAATCTGAAACCTCTTTTCCAAACTACAAATACTTCAATTTCTAATTTAGGTTCTTTTTATAAATATTTTTCAATTAATGTATCTTAATTATAAGCACAAACACAATCATTACATGATTTTGCATTGCAAAAAGCACATTCAATTTACCAATTTTAATTGGATTTAAATTCTAAATAATAAACTTTATCTAATATATTTTCTTCATAATATTCACTCCAATTATTGCCTTAATATGGAGGAAGACCTTCAAAAGTTGTTAAGACTCCAACATGAATATCAAATATAAATTTATGTATATCAACATGTGTTGTCTTAGTTTTATCAAAATAGAAGTTGAAAGCAGGAGTAATTTCCCTCTTCCATTAATACTAAGCATTTTATTTAAAAGATTCATGTATCATAATGCAAACTTTATTTTCTTTTTCTATATTGAGTTCGGATTATAAAGCTTTTCTAATATATAACTTTTTGTATTTTAATTTCTTCCTCAAACTTGACATTTTTTCATTTTCATCTGTATCATCATGTTAGTAATTTGATGTACAAATATAAATCAATTCAGTTGGATTAATATGTTAAATTTTGTCTTAAATTTCTGGAGATAGTAATATTTAACCAAGTGTAGGATCTTGTGCTTTCTCATAATTATAAACAAGAGTCTAACAATCCCATAATAAATTTGGATCTATAAATTGGATTTCTAATTTTTTGGTTGTATTTTAAGGTATACTTACATTAACCATCAAATATGGATCAAATGTAATAGATATTTTATTACAATTTGGACATCTTAAAGTACTTTTATATTATCCATAAAGATTGTCAACTACTATACTATCATTTCTTAACTTAAATTATTCCCAAGATTCTTTAGCAACTTCAAAATCAGGTCTTCCATCATAATCTTTTCTCTCCACATATGGTTTTTGTTTAATACGACATAAATCTTCATTTAAACCATCCAATAAATATGTAATCAATTCTTAACTGTCATGTTATTAAAATCCTTAAAATTATGGTTAAAATTTTCCAATGGCTCTTTTAAGTGAGAATGGAGGAATAGGTGATCTATCAGCATACCACATTCTTCTCAAAAGATGAGCAAATTTAGATGCTAATTCTCCTTTTGTACCTAAAGTATTGAGTTCATTTATATCTTATTTATATTAATTAGATAGTAAGTATTCTCTTAATGGGAATGTATTACCAATACATTAAATTCCAGAATTCATAAAACAAGTATTTCCTAAATTCTTTAATCCAACCTTGCCATCCATAGACTATTCATTTCTTTAGAGTTTATCCATTGTTTCATCATCAGAATCTGTCTTTTCACATCTAGGTAAATGATAAGCCTCATCTCTTTTTTTACATTCCTCTGTACAATAACTAACTTTTTTGCAATCGCATGGAAATCGTAGTACTTTGAAATTATAACAACCTTCACATTTTCCTTCCATAGTGAAATTGGGATGTTTAATTACCCAATTTTTTTATAATTCCTTAAAATCTCCTAGTATAATTTAACCTGGTGCTATTTAACAATCTTCAATAGTTTCATATTTATTTGGATCCAAATATTCAGCATCTTTAAATTCAAATACTACATCATCATAAGTTCCAAGTGATTTAATTTCTTCAGAAATATGTTTTTCAATTTCTGCCATAGTCATACCTAAGGGAGATTTATAAAGTCTAATTCCATCATGTCTATGGAAGTCATAGCCACTACTATAAATGATTGTATAATAATTACGTACACTGTTTGTAAAGTGCTTGCTAATAATTCAATAAATGAAGATAATTTGCATGTTCTAGATACATATTAGTCTCCTTTAATAAGTGTAACAGTTTTTCCTCCATTGAATTTGCGAAGTGTAGAAGGAAACACTGCTCCTAAGTTTAAAGGTACAAGATTGACATTAACTTGTTTCATTCCATTTATTATAGTGGCATCTCGTTCAATAGTTGTTACATGAAACCTACATAATAAAAAATATTATAACTTTCTTGCTATGATTTCCCAAGTTGCTTTATCTAAAATTTCATAATCAACTCCTTCTTAAAGATTTGGAAGCATTATCTTATTCCATTTATGAGTTTAAATTGGATCATATTTAAAGATGGTTTATGGTTTAGACAATAATAGATCTGAATTTACACAAGAATAATTGTTAAATGTTTAACCTTTCTCTTCACTCTCTATCCACTCTTCTAACCATCTATTCATTTAAATTAAAAATGCTTTACTTCTTTGAAATGATATAATAATTCATGTCTTGACTGGTATGGAATTCATCTATCCCTCGCTTTCTTGATTCTTTAAATTGTACAAAATCGTTCATTAAATTAATTAAAATTCAATCTTTACATATAAATTATTCCTAATCTATAATACTTTATTACTATTACCAATCAATTTTTAATAATATTCTCATAATGTAATTCTATAATTCATAATGAATTGAAGAATATTTAATATATATATTGATCAAAATTTAAATGTAAACTACTATTCTATATTTAAAGTTATTAAATATTATTCAATTTAACTATATATATATGATAAACATTTAATGAATTTATTATAATTAAGAATATATTTCATTCATATTTATATTTTCTAATATTTATATATAATAACCTCAATATTGATGATTTATTAAAATTAGAATAAGATTATAATTAATTATATTATAACAATTTATTTAAAAATAAAATCATTCAACAAATCTAAATGAGAACTTTAAAATTTTAAAATATTGTTTGAAACATTAAATCTTCAAAATATGAATCACTCTTTTTTTATACTGGCTTTTATATAATGCCTTATATAAATTTTATGAGATCACAAAAATTTAAAGGATTTTATTGTCATATATTTATGATTGTATTAATACTTCTATGAATTAAAATAAGTAAAATGTCAGGACAAGATGATCCAGATTATGAACCAGGTAATGGAAGGAAATTTACTTTCAAAGAATTTAGTTAAGATGCTTTAGAATAATTGGCTATAGCTAAAAACTTTGATAAATTGTATAAATTAGCAGAAAAAGCACCTTAACATACACTTACTTATGAGAAACTAAAGTTTAATGATGAAATCTATAAAACAGGAGAATCAATACTAATAAATGTCAAAAATTTTGAGTTTATAGCAACAATAAAAAAAATAATTAGTATAAAATCTCAAAAAAATGATCAAGAACTACCTTTAGTCATAATCAACTTATATTGTAACAAAGACAAAATTGCATCCTAATATTAAGAATAAAAAGAATATATGGGAATGTCTGAATTGTTTTTGACTGAAGAAGAACATGCAATATTAGTTGATGCAATATAATCTAAAGTTTTAGTTTTAAGTTATGAAAATTATGAATAGTATGAATTTAAAGATGCAGTATATTTTACAAGAGCATTTTATAATACAAAAAGTGAAGAATTCTTACCAGAAATAAGTAAATGGCCAAAGGTTTGTTATTGTAAAAAACCATAAAATCCTGATTTACCATATGTATTTTGTGATATGTGTAATTAATGGATACATCTTAAATGTGAAGGATTAACAGAAGAATAAGTTTAAAATATAGAATCATTTATATGCACATATTGTAAAGGAAAATGAAATTTAATTATATTAATATATAATTATTTTAATCAATATTAATATAAATTTAATTGATTTGCAAAATTCGTTTATTTATTAATAATAGATCTTCTTTCTTTAACAAATTCAAAAGCTTTATCATAATTCCATTTATTTTTTTTCATTAAATAAGCACATACAATTGCTGGAGATCTATTAATTCCAGCTGCACAATGAACAAATACATTTTATGCTTAATCAATAAAATTAAATGTTTCATCAAGATATTCAATAATAGATTGATTTAATGAATCTTATATCATAATTTAATGATATTTAAAATCTTAAGGGAATTTCTATTTAAGAAAATCTCCACATATAAGAATATCAGTTATTTTATATTTTTATAATAACTTTTTATTTTTTGCAGCAATATAATTCCCTAAATATAATTTATTTGGTACTATTTCACTAATTGATGAAGATTCATCTTATTTTATTTAATCCTTATATAATTATATCATTTTACTTATTAATGTATTTTATCAATTTCATCTTCAAAATGTTCTAAATTTTATGCTTATTAATTTAAACATGATTAACAAACAGGAAGATCTGTATTCTTTATATTAGATGCTTAAAAACATAAAATGCATAAAGAACTATTGTTCATAATTTATTTATTTTAATAAATCAATTTCTTTTGCTGATGAATTGGGCGGTGGTTGATAATTTCTCACTGATGTGTTCTTAGAGTCTATCAACGATTTCATTTTAAGCAGCTCTAAAATAAAGTATTATTTTAATAGTACCTTTCAGCAGTTTAAGTTTCATAGATTTCTGATTAGACTGCATACCATGCTTATTATCCAGCAAGTCTTTCTTCACTGTTTTCTAATTCTAAGGTGTGGAATTCGATCCATGATTAAGCATCTTCAATGGTATCCTTTTATTCTTAGATTTAGACTTCTAATTAAGCTTTTCTTTCAACCAATCTAGTGTGTTCATTACTCAAATGAGCACTGAATTCAGCCCAGTGTGCAGCTTATCTATCTTCAACGTCCTTAATAATTTAATTAATTAAATACTGTTTTGACAGCCTTTTCTTAGACTAATTATTATCTGATTTCACTCAATAATTAAGCAATCTTGGTTAAGGCCTTTTAGTTAACTCCGTGAGTGGCTAATTCAGTAAGGGCAACAACGACTGGCTAAAGTAGATAATAGAATGATGTTATTTACTTATAAGAGTTGGCTATGTGAAGTGTTATCGGTAAGTCTCTTGTGAACTGTTTCATACTTTGATTTAACTTAGACAAATGAAGCACCTAAGCTCAAATGTTAGATGAGTTTAGCAGCATCATCAATAGCATCAATAACATCATCGATGGCAGCAACTTTAGCAACAAAGGTTTCGTGTTATTAGTTTCTTGTGGCTTCTTCTCTAGCATAAGTTTATTCATTTGTTGCAATGTCTGAAATTGTAACTCTAATGTCTTCTTCAGAAACAGCCAAAGCTTCAATTGTGTCATCTCTCAATTAAGTGTTAGATGAGATTTGATTTTAGTGATACAAGATTTCCTTTTCCAAATCTTCAACGATCTATTATATAGATTAATATTCTTACTCTGTTGTTTGTGGTTGTATCAAGTTCAAAAGCATGGTCATGGTCATTTTAATCTTATTATAATCCAGCAGCAACACCGTTCAATAACATATTAACTTCATTGGCTGGTGTTTAGGCTTATAAATGAGCTTTGATGGCTGACAATACAACATTTCCGAATGGATTGGCATCAATTTAAGCCAAGCTTGCATGTGTATCTACAAACTTGGCAGCTGCAAGAGCAAGAACCAATGTCAAGATAGCTAGTTTTTGCATTTATTTATTTAATGTTTTTAAAAACGGATCGAAAAATGCTTATGTATATAATTAATTTATAAATATTTATTCCCATTTTCTTATAATATTACTAACATCATCTCATTAATTTTGTAATAACATTTCTTCCATCCATTATCTCTCTTAACCATTCACTTCTTAATAATCAAAATTTTTTTATAATAAAAATATATTAAAACTGTCTTTCTCTCTATCACCTTCCTAAAATTCATAAATTTCTTATTATTCTATTCAAATTATATATTATTTTCTCTACTACAAACTTCCATTACTATCAATCAATTATAACTCAATAATATTGTTGATAACATAAATAAATTACTGTTCTAAATAGAAAGATATTCGTTGAAAATGAATCTTATATTCTTAATTAAATTAGAATTCTAAAAGATTTTTAATATTGAAATCAATTTCTAAGATTTTTAGGTTAAATGTTAAGTTGAATGTTTTTTTTGATTATTTTAGAATGAAGTTCATAAATGTTAATTCAAAGTAATTTTAAGTCTTTGATTATGAATTTCTGATAATATTTATGAATTATTTCTACACTAATGATTGTTAAGCATGATTGATTAAATACTTTTATTTATGAATTAAAATCTTGCAAATATTCAAAAAATAATTTAATTTTTATTATGTCTGCACCATTCTTCACAGTGAAAGTATGAATAACTATGTAATTTAAAAGGACGTACCTGCATAAGATTTCATTCGTGCTTATGCTGAATATTTGAAAAAAAATAACAAGATCAAGATTCCAGAATGGGGTTCAATTGTTAAGACTGGACTTGGAAAAGAAATCTCACCAATTGACTAAGATTGGATGTATGTTAGAGCTGCAGCACTTGCTCGTAAAATTTATGTCAGAGGTCACTGGGTATAAATATTTAATTTACACATCAGGGAGTTGGAAATCTTACTCATATGTTTGGTTCAGTTAATGATAATGGCAAACACGAATCAGGATCTGGAAAAGTCATTAGATACTTGCTTTAATAATTGGAAGCTATCAAAGTTTTAAAGAAGGATAATAAGTCTCTCTTGAAAAAGGGATCAAGAATTGTTACCAAAGAAGGATAATAAGATTTAAATAGAATTGCAACTCAAGTTGCCTTAGCAGCCAGAAAATGATTGATATAACAATACATAAGTACATTATATAATAAATAAAGTAATTTTCATATATATATATAATAATCATATATAATTTATATAAATACATATTATCATATATGATATTCATCTTTTAAAATTTAATCAATGAAAGAATCGATTGCCAATTTCATTTTTTCTTCTCTTGTTTATTTTGGTATTAATATTATAGAGTTACTGCTATTAATAGGTGAATTATTATTAATTATATTCTAATAGACTATTGATTAGCTACTCTACTTCTAGAAGGATTAATTTATCCAATCAATTTATTTAATCTAGGTTTCTAGTTGACGAAATTTAGGCTAACTGAGTTTGTAATACACATAAAATTTGATAGTCTGTTTATTTAAAACCTTACTCTACTGGTATGCATATTAAATATCCTCATCTTATGTTATCACAACTTTATCAAAATCATTATCATAAAAGCTAAGCTTAAGTAAAAATAGCTTTGGTACTAAATGATGATATCTCTTGTTTATATTCTTATTCTTTTAATTTCTTTCTTTAAATCTAATAACGTTTAGATCTCCTTATAGATTATGAATGTATCACTTTAAGTTATTATTTTAATATCCATATTATATTATTTTAATATAATATAATAATCAATTTTGTTCAATACTGTCGGCTTGATTTCATTATTCTGCTTAGCGATTATTACAATGAAGATAACTCATGAGAGTGACTATAAAATATCGTATAATATTCCTTACTCTGCAGTAAATGTTCCAATATAAGAGGGTGGAATAGCATTTAATTTGGCTGTCAAAACTCTGATATCACTTTAGTTTCCACTAACACCTAATCTACTTAAATTGCTGCCTAAGAAAATAGCTGATTTTGTTGTCTGATGATGGGGTTAATGACTTAAATAAGTTAATTCATTATTTAGACGTGTAAATTTGGTATTTTATATTTGGAGTTCTAATCCTAACTTTGAGTCCCAATTTTTGAATCTATCTAATCTTACCTTAGCTCTTTATGGTGATTCATTATAATTTCTACTTGATCTCATAGGAGATGTACTTTTATGAATACTGCTAAATACAATATGAGTTGGGGTCAAAGGACTAAAATTATTTATTTAATAATCTTACTGATATTCTCCAACGACTACTCCTTGTAATCCTTTACTTTATTTAGGTGAAGAATCTCTAAATAATCTTGTTCTAACAGGAGACATGTTTGTAGACTCTCTACTTTTTGATACAAAGCTTGAATCACCTAGTTTGCTAATTGCAGTAGAGAGTAACCCAACTTGACTAGTTTTTGGTTTGTATACTTTGCTAGAATCCACACTCACAAAAGACGAAGTTAACATAATTTTTATTTATGTATAATAAAATTTATATTCATATTTGCACTCCCCCCTTAGAATTATAAATAAAATAAATTTATGTAATTTTATTATTTATAATTATTCAGTGAATATCATTTTCTAACTTTCAATTCAAAAAATTGTATCAAAATGTTATTATCTATGAATTTTCATCAATTAAATTAAATTTTATCTTTTTAAATCGATTAATTCTTTTTAGAATAAGGAAATAATTATAAAATTTAAATATATATCTATCTTAATTTGATATTTATTTTACCTATTAGAAATACTCATTTTGATAGATAGAGATATACAATAAATAATATATAAATTAGTTTTAATATTATGACCATACTATTGTATTCAATATATTATAATCTTATTGAATTTTATAATATTCATTTATTTAAAACTATAGTTTTATTTGACATATAGATATTTAGTATTAAAAATGCAAAAAATATGACTAAATTAAAAAAAAAATTTTAAGAATAAAATTTTAATATAAAAAGAATAATATTTTTATTCATCAAAAATTATGAATTCAATGTATTTATTAAATTTACATATAATTTTATCTTACATTAGTCGAAATTACTAAATGAGTATATAACTAATTGTGAATTTTATTAGTCTATTTTTGTTAACTTTCTTATATCCAATAAATTAGTTTTGAGCTAAAATTTATTAATAGTTCAATGCAGTATCATTAAACCTATCATAATACAAGAAGTATAAATGATATTTTAACTATTAAAGGTCTTAGGATAAATTAGAGAAATTTCTATTTATGTAAAATCTGAAAAGAAATCTTAAATAGATTTTCTAATCTCATATAAAATATATTAAAACAAAACATAGATGTATGGTAATATAGCAAAAATGATATACCTATTATACAAATTGAAATTTTTTTAGGAACCTTAATCTAAATAAAAATATCCTTTATTGAATTATCTATAAAAGAGTACTCTAACAAAAACTCATTATTTATCCCTCAATAACGTATGTATAAAATTAAAGTGATACTCTAACTTAATGTTGATAAAAAATGCAAATATCTGATTATGGTTTTTCTTCCTTTAAACATAAAAGAGAGGGCATTTCCTAAAAGAATTGATTAAAATAAGGCACAGTACCTAAAGTCCAATTTTTTTTGTTATCTTCTGAATTTTTATTTAAAGATTAATTATCTTTTACTTCTTTATTTTTTTGTAATAAATTTAAAAAAAATTCTGTTTTTATCAATAATTATATAATAGATTTGAAATAATAATGGAAATCCTTTAATTAAAGAGGATTGGATTGAAATGATATAAATGATTCATTTTTTAAATTGAATATATTTGTATTATGGAAATCACTTTCTTCCAAGACTGGTCTATGAAGCTAAGGATCTAACTTAATCTTTGAACAATTAGATGACAACATCGATAATAGCATTTTCCTCTATAGATTATTGTGATAATTGGTACCGGCTCTTCTTGCAGTTTCGGAGGCATAGAATTCTCTTTTCTCTTCTAAATCAGCAGTGGCTCCAGCAACAGCGTTTAAGGAATCCTTCCATAATTTGAGTGCTTTGGCTTATTAGGCAAGGACAGCTGGGAGTTGCTATAAAGTAATTAAAAAAATTGAAGTACAGTTTCTAATTTTTCAACAAGACCAGTTCTTCTTTCATGTTCTGAATTCAACCAGGCAACTTCAGCGTTGGTGTCTGAGACGTATTTAGCAAGTGCAAAGGCAGCATGAATTTCTTATTCTTAAAGGGTGGCAAGAGTGGATTCTAATTCAGCTTATAAGTCATATAAGATTTAGAGGACTTATTCTCCGGTTGTACCTTCTCTCTTGACTTCAGCAAGTGATTAGAATTTTTGAAGGGCATCTTATTAGAAAAGATGGCTATATGCTGATAATTTATCGGCGATAGTTTGGGCTTTTTCAACAAGTTCAACTCCAGCATTGTTTGTGAGGAAACCAGCAACATCTTATTATAAGAGTTAGACGACTGCTACAGCATCAGCATGATCAGCAAGTGATTTGACAAAGAGTCCATTGGCCCAACATCTTTAGTCTTGGAGTTAAGCATTTCTTCTTTCGATTTCAGCAAGTCTAGCTTCAGCCCAGGCTAACCATGTATATCCATCCTTAATGAATTAATGAGTGTTAATACCCTGACTTAGGCTTCAACATCTGTTCTGACTGCTCCAAGTGATTCCCATTATTGTTTGTTGAGTGAGGCAACATTAGTCAAATCACCAATGACTTAGGAAAAGATTTCTAGAATGATTGAATAAATGATATACCTTCATCTGTATTGTTCTTTTTGTCAGCAGCAGCTTACACATTAACATTTTCTGTCTTTAAATCTCTTAAGAGATTGTAAACTGATTCGACGGCATCGTTTCCTCTTGTGCCTGTTTGGAGAAGCACGGCGAATTTATTTGTGTCAAGAGCAAACACAGCTGCTACGAGGCAAATCACAATGAATGTTTTCATATTTATTTTTAATAATACCAAAAACGGAATATAAAATCATCGTTTTAATGTTGATTATATATTATTATTAATAATATAATCTTGATACATATATAGTCTATCTAGATATTAATTAAATTTATTCATATATCTTAATTTTCATTATAAGTATCCTCACAGATCAATTTGCACTAATTAAAATGAACTTCACAAATTCCTGTTCCATTTTTACGACATTATTCCAATAAGATTCGACATTCATCAATACAAATTATTTTAGGACATTCATCTAAACATCCATGAACCATACTATATATTATATTTTAATTACTTCTAACAATTTGAATGACAAAATGATGGATTACCAATACTATCACATCCACTTGTACAATCTAACCAATCCATAGTACAATCTCTTTTGCATTCTTCATATGTTAATTAACTTAACGATAAACAAAACAATAATGTTCCAAAGAGTAGTGATTTCATTTATTAATTTATTTTTAAAAAATATTAATCAAATTCACTTAAATCACTTTAGTTTTTACATTAAAGTGATTAATTCATCTAACGAAATCTCCCCATCTTTATCTTTATCACATTCTTCTAAAATATTTTTCCATTATATTTCATCAATCTTAATACCAGACATTATGTATTAAAGTTCAGCTCTTTAAATTTTACCATCACCATTCTAAATTTTTTATAATTATTCTTACTTTATCAAACATCTAAAATACTTATTTTAGTTTTTCTTAAGAAAGTAATTTTTCTTTATTTGCAGCAGCCACTAAAAATTCTATTAGGATTCATAATTAAATGAAGTACCATTAAAATCAATCTATCCTGATTAGTTTATATCAACTTATTTCATAATTTCTTAAACTAATTTTTCAGCTTACTCTTATCCATAAAATTTAGAATAATGTTTCTTTAATTCTTCAGGACTAATTGTTCCATTTCCATCAGTATCCATGGCTTTAAATTATTTTAATTATTCTTCCTTTTCTTAATATGTTGTAACTTGTGTTACAATGAATAATTATATGGCATTCTTTAATTTTGATGTACTCTATATTTTATCTTTAAATTTTATACATAAAAATCTTTTAAATTATTGAGTGCATTGACTTATACTGGATTATTAGGAGCTTTTGATTAAATCCATGGATCTTACAATGCTTATTGAGCTGTTATTCTTTATTAAGGATCATATTTTAACATTTTAGTTATTAAATCTTTGGCTTCTTAAGAAATAGATCTCCATTCAGTATCTATTAAATTAGAATATAAATTAATACCGTTGAATTCAAAAGTTCCTTTTTAAATTTTCTTTTTAATAGTTGTGTCATCACCATTAAAAGGAGGATATCCACATAAAAGAATATATAATATTACACCAACACTCCAAACATCTACTTTTAGATCATATTGACCTTGAAAAACTTCAGGAGCCATATAATATAACTTAAGATTAAAATATAGAAATACAGTCCCAATTTTTAATTTTAATTTTTCGTCTTCTTATACTCTACTAGAAGTGCCAAAATCAATAACTTTAATATTTGAATTAGCACTTTTAGTTTCTAATAATATATTCTCTAATTTTAGATCTCTATGAATTATTTTCCTTTCATGACAATATGTCACAGCAGATAAGACTTATTTCATAATTTCAGCTGCCTTTTTTTCAGTAAAGTTCTTTTCAGATGCAAGTTTATCGAATAGTTCTCCACCCTAACATAACTCAGTTATCAGATAATAATGTATATTGTCTTAATATAGTTTATGTAACTTAACAATATTGGGATGGTCAATTAACCTCAAAATATCCATTTCACTAAATAAGATCTTTTAATCCTCCTTAATTAATCCTTATTTCTTTATCTATTTCATAGCATATGGCATTTCTATATTGTTTATTTCAATTAATANTATTAAAGTTCAGCTCTTTAAATTTTACCATCACCATTCTAAATTTTTTATAATTATTCTTACTTTATCAAACATCTAAAATACTTATTTTAGTTTTTCTTAAGAAAGTAATTTTTCTTTATTTGCAGCAGCCACTAAAAATTCTATTAGGATTCATAATTAAATGAAGTACCATTAAAATCAATCTATCCTGATTAGTTTATATCAACTTATTTCATAATTTCTTAAACTAATTTTTCAGCTTACTCTTATCCATAAAATTTAGAATAATGTTTCTTTAATTCTTCAGGACTAATTGTTCCATTTCCATCAGTATCCATGGCTTTAAATTATTTTAATTATTCTTCCTTTTCTTAATATGTTGTAACTTGTGTTACAATGAATAATTATATGGCATTCTTTAATTTTGATGTACTCTATATTTTATCTTTAAATTTTATACATAAAAATCTTTTAAATTATTGAGTGCATTGACTTATACTGGATTATTAGGAGCTTTTGATTAAATCCATGGATCTTACAATGCTTATTGAGCTGTTATTCTTTATTAAGGATCATATTTTAACATTTTAGTTATTAAATCTTTGGCTTCTTAAGAAATAGATCTCCATTCAGTATCTATTAAATTAGAATATAAATTAATACCGTTGAATTCAAAAGTTCCTTTTTAAATTTTCTTTTTAATAGTTGTGTCATCACCATTAAAAGGAGGATATCCACATAAAAGAATATATAATATTACACCAACACTCCAAACATCTACTTTTAGATCATATTGACCTTGAAAAACTTCAGGAGCCATATAATATAACTTAAGATTAAAATATAGAAATACAGTCCCAATTTTTAATTTTAATTTTTCGTCTTCTTATACTCTACTAGAAGTGCCAAAATCAATAACTTTAATATTTGAATTAGCACTTTTAGTTTCTAATAATATATTCTCTAATTTTAGATCTCTATGAATTATTTTCCTTTCATGACAATATGTCACAGCAGATAAGACTTATTTCATAATTTCAGCTGCCTTTTTTTCAGTAAAGTTCTTTTCAGATGCAAGTTTATCGAATAGTTCTCCACCCTAACATAACTCAGTTATCAGATAATAATGTATATTGTCTTAATATAGTTTATGTAACTTAACAATATTGGGATGGTCAATTAACCTCAAAATATCCATTTCACTAAATAAGATCTTTTAATCCTCCTTAATTAATCCTTATTTCTTTATCTATTTCATAGCATATGGCATTTCTATATTGTTTATTTCAATTAATACTTGTTTTACGATGAGCTACTAATTTTACACAACCGAATGCTCCTTCTCCCAAAGTTGACCTGACCTCATACTCTTCATAAATATTGCCATCCTTTAAGTCGACAAAGATCTCTGATGAAATCTTTTCTCCTGTAAACTCTTTTTGTGGTTCTCTTTTTCTGGGATTATCTGTTGAAGCAGAATCAGATGAAGCGCAACCCATTATTAATTAAATTTATGAATTTCAATTCTAATCTCTAAAATACTTTTTGATGCTATTTTCTAATTGATTTCAACATTTACGTCATTATACTATTAAAGCACAAAGTCATATATTTTATAATTATTATAACTTATTCATTCTCCAATAAACTTTATTGCGAAGAATGCATAAATATTATTACTTGAAATCAACTCTTTACATCCTTTAATATAGTAATATTATTTTAATATTTAAAGATGACCTTACTCATTTTTAAATACATAAATTTGACTCTAATCAATTTTGTTTTCAACTTTAAAAAAGAAGTTTTAAAATTCTATTTTTGAATATGAATACTAAATAAAAATCTATAGATAAGATTACATTAATCATATGTAATTAATTTCAATCCCCTTCTACTAATCTGTTGGAATAATCAAATTTTAATTATGATTACGATATTTATCTAACTCAATCTTTTCAATAACTTTCTAATATTTTATTATGAAAAGTGTAAACTATAAACAGAGTCTTTAAGAATATACATATTATTAATACTAATTTGTTTTTTTCCATTTAAATTAATATTATTTTATTGCATTCGTCCATTCTATATAATAGATAACAATTTCATAAAGTGCTGGAATTATTATCCATACCAATAAAAAATAGAATTATTATTATTATTCTTATGATTAATATATTCTCTTTTGATTTAATATGTCTAGAAGTATATTATTTAAATTTATATATTATATTATTCAATAATTCTATTTATTATTCATTCCATTCAGAAATAAAATTTAATTAATTAATTCTATTAGTTTTTTAAGAATATTAATATCAAATTTTGCTAAAAAGGATCAAAAATATTATAAAATTATTTATTTGTTGATTTTCACAAAATTATAAAATAATAATTGATCATTTTTAATATTTATTTATGATTAGTATAAAATTATTTAATTAACAACTAAATTTCAAGAAGCTGTATTAAAAAATGAAGGATTTTGATAAAGATATGATAACAGTAGATACAGAAGTAAAAGTAATAATAGGCAACGATATTCATCAAGATTTTTCAATCTGCATTTGCCTAATTATAAAAAGGATATTGTATAATTATACTCTTAAAGAAAATTTTATAAATAAAAATGAATAAATCAGAAGTCCAATTCTTTAAGAAAAGAAAATTGAAATACATGAATCTCTTTTTATAATCTAATTATGATCTTAGATCAGAAACTCAAGATCATCCAAATAAAATTAGATAATATCAGAATTATGTTAATGATATTATAGATCCGTATTGGAATAGATAGATTTATATTAGAAGGATAATAATAGTTTTCTAGTTTTTGGGATAAATTTATTGGGTTCTTAAAACATGTTTAATGATTTATATTATTTTAATTAAATATGAAAGCTCTTTTACAATAAACTATGTAGTAAATTAAATTAGATTAAGAATTGAAGAAACTTTTAGCTCATAGAAGTGATTCTTAAGATATTTTAATGAAGTATGAAATTTGTTTAATTGTGATAGATTATAATCAATTTTTGAATAGGCACTTGATGATCATACAGAATTATATTGGAAGAAGGAACATGCTCATACTAAAACTTAATTGGAATGTTCTATTTAAGAATGTATTGCATTAAGACATGATTTAAGAGAAATGGATGAGGATAGAACAGAAAAATAAAATATAATCAAGGAATAAAATAAATAAATAGATGAATTGTAAGAAGCCTTAGAGGAGATAGAATAGAAATTGAATATTATGCAAGAAAATGTTTTATAATAAAAATAAGAATTAGCTGAGGAATTTGAACAAAATTTGAATTAAATATAAGATAGTTATAAATTAAAAGAATAAGAGTAATTTTAAAATTTATAATAAAAATTGACAGAATTAGAATAGATTGTAAGTGATTAATAGGTTGCTTTAACAAAAGAAAGGGAATTGCAACAACATGCTGTTAAGGATTATAAATAGGTAAAAGCATAATTGAAAACTGAATAAGAAACAGTAACACAATTAAGATAATAAATATAGAGTATGAAAAAAACAAATGAAACTTTAAATATTGATAAATAATGTTTGGAAAATAGATCAAAATAATAGAAATAATAAAATGAAACATAATATAAATAAATAAAATCTTTAGAAACTAAATTAATAGATATAACTGAAGAATTAGAAAGATATAAGAAAAAGAATTAATAAGACTAAGCTAATTTAAAAACTTAACAAAATGATTAAGAGAAAATTTATAAAAGAAAATTGAGAAATTATAAATTAAAGGTGGATGAAATAAAAAATAAAATCAAATAAAATTTATAAAAAATATTTTCAAGTCTAAAATTGGACATGGAAACATTTAGATTATAAATTTTAAAAGAATTATAATTAGTTTCAACATAAACTTGTTAAATAGTATCTAAATAATTGAAATTAGATTATGATTAAACATAAAGAGAATTCTCTGATAAAATGGAATAAATTCGATATTCTATGTAAGCACATTTTAAAAACACTTTAGAAAAGCAAATTTAAGAATTTGAATCTAAAGAAATGTAAATGAAAAATGAATATGAATTAATCATAAAGACTTTAAAATCATAAATTTAAAGTCTTGAAGATGTCTAAAAAGATTTAGAAAGAGAAATTTAATTAAAATAAACAGAAACTTAAGAACATTAATTAAATTTATAAGAAAAAATAGAATTATTAATTGAATAATAAAAATAACTAGATGAACTATCAAATCAAGCAAAAGATTAATTAAATTTATTAATGGAATAGGAAGAATAGATTAAAGAATTGAAGGAATAAAATGAAAAATATACTCGTAAAACAATGTAATATGAAGATTATGTAAGTAAATAAGCAATTTTATATTAAACCTAAAAGGCTGAAGAAAAAATGTATAAAAAGTAATATGAAGATGTTGCAGAATCAAATTAAAATTTAAAAAAATAAATTAAAATTTTATAAGAACAATTATAAAGTGATTAATTTGCAATAAATAAATTAAAAACTTAAGTTTCTTCAGCAAAATTAAATAATATTAAAGATGTTGAAGAAAGACATTTAATAAGACTATAAAATATAAGAAAAATTTGATAATATATATAAATATAATTTTTTCAATGTGTCAATTTAAATGTATTCGCCTGATGAGATTATTAATTAAGTTCATCAAGTTTAATCATTTATTTTACTTTCTTTGGTAAAGTAGTCTTTTTTGTTAGTTGTTTTTTTAAATCAACAGTTTAAGAATATAAATTATCTAGATGAATTTCATATGTAGATTATAATGAAGATGTATGAGATTCATTGTCTAAATCTTCATGAATTTTTTATTCAGTTTTATGATATCTCTTCTTGACTCTTAGATTACCTATTTTAGAAGCAATAATTTCATGAGAAGGAATGTCATCTTCATCCATTTCAGTAAAATGATTTCTAAGAATAATAGGTTTTGGTTTATTGTGTAGATAATCATATAATTCTAAATCTTTAGATGTCAATACATCCTTATTATACAATGAAAATTTGGAATTGGATTATTTTGTAATTTACATTTTAGTAAGTTTATTTAATTCTTATTACTTAAGATATTGTTATCTTGAAGCCTCATCCATATATTTTTTGGTTGATTCAGTTAAATTGTTTTTTAAAAAGATTTTTGATATAGCAGGTATTTCTTTTGCATTTTTGATAACTTTGAATAGATATTAATTATACTTGGCTTCAAATCATCATAGCTGACAGTCATAGTCTTAAGAGATTTAATTGAGGGAATCTTTTTACTAAAAGGATCTTTAGTTTAAGCTAATTTATCTTCTATTCCTTCAGAAGCATCTACTATAGTTTTAAACAATCCAACATTTTATAGATTTTATCTTCTTTGAGTTTCATTATCATCCTTCTTTTACATCATTCTTGTATGAATTAAATTATTTAATCCTTGCAATTTGGATTTTAAATAGACACTCCTATCATCTTTAGTGTTTCTAACTTATTTATGTTTGAACTTATTTTTAAATCTTACTAATGGTCCTAAAACACTTATTCCTTTTTAATCAACATGATCTTCCATTAATTATTATCGTAATCTAGGATAGTTGGATAATTGCAGTAATTCAATACTAGTTATTTTACCATCTAAGAACAATTCAAAAGAATCTTTAAATAGCATATTGTTATTTTGTGTTTAAAGAGCAACATTTCCTTAAGAAGATCTTTAACTTTAGCTACTACGGACTGAATCAATAATTGGATTGAATTTAATCTGCTTCGATTTTCTAGGTTAAATCAAGTTTTTCAATTATGGAATTTTTTTTCTTTGAGTCATTATGTTACTACTGAATTCTTTGACTTCATCTGTCTCTGTTCGAAGATAAGCAGAAATAGTAGATGATTCATTCATTAATTTAATTAAATATGCGTCTAAGGGCAATTTAAAAGTATAAAAAGCCAGCTGGAATAAGAAATGTAATAATGAAACTATCAATATTGAAAGAATTAATATCTATATTACATAGAAAGTTAAACTAATTTAAAAGTCATAAAGAAATATATCATTAAATATTTAAGGAAAATAATTCAGAATTATATAGGAAATGGAAAATAAAGATTGATATATAAAATACAATAATGTCATGATACTAAAGTAATTCTATCGTTTTAATCTCCATGAATTTAAATCTGATTAAGTGAAGAGTATGTATTTAAAAACTCTTCAATTTCTTACATTTAAGATCCTTTACTAATAGCTTATCTAACAAATTAATCTTTATTTATAGTTCCTTTATTTTTATTACATAATGAAGACAATAATTCATATAATTTAGCAGTTTTATCCTTTCTTTATACAGTGTCTAAGATAATATAAATATAGATACCATCTATTTATTATGCTCTTCTAACACTTTCTTAAGAAATATCCATCAATCTAATAGCTTCTTCAACATCTCTTTGAGTGACTCTATCAGCCAATTATAATTTAGC